CATATTTTCCAAGTCATTAGACGACAGATAAAGAAATTGATGACAATCAGGTCGCCATTTGGAAATATTTGATGTAAAAACTGCAAAATTTGAGTTTAATTTCAGAAAACTTTTTTTTCTTGATAAAGATCTCTTTGTTTATTTTTTTTTTAAAGAATAACAGCATTTTTATAGAATATCAACATTCAAGCATGTGTTTTCAGTAGATCATACACTTTCAGGTTTTTAGGTTCAATATGTACGAGTATATTATATATACACCAATATGAAAAATCCTCAACATCATTGAAAATTTTGATGCTAATTTTGACATAATGATGCTTACTTAACTATGATTTTGAAATGTTAATTAGGGATTTAAAAATAATCAGTTTATTTGCTAAAAAAATATGACTTTTTGTAACAAAATCGGCTGAAAAATATCACTTTTGTGATGGAACCGGCTGACAACAAATTTGAATCCGCAGTACTGCGTACTACTGCAGTATCCAAAAAGATAAACCTTGATAATTTTTATACATAATGATTACATTGTAGCGGCAAACAAGGTCACTGGAGGCCACTATGTAAGGAGCTACTAATAAGTTTGAAATAGCAGAATTTCACAGCTTCACGGCTGCCTACCCAATTTATTACATCCTTTGGTAAGATGGTGGGATTTGGACCTAAGATTTGACGCAACATGGTTAGGTCTAATGCTTCAACCACAGCTTTTACCTAACAGCAGTAACCAGATTTATACAAGGAGGCAACTTTCAGCCAGATCATTGAGTGTTGTGTAGATAACTCAGGCCACTTGAGACTTGGTCATGGGTCATCCGAGTCTCTCACTCTTAAGTAAGAGTTCGAGTCACTTAAAATTTCTAAATGGCTCAAGCATCCCTAACACTGAGCTATGTTGATGAATAGGTTGTGAACCCCTAACCTCGCCTAAAGTAGGGATTATTCTAATAATTCAAACATTTATAGAAAAAGATTTGCATATTTATTCTGGGAGGAAAGCTGATAAAACATCTCAATCAAATGACGAACCTATGTCACTTTTATGACCATGATTAGTTGCACAAAGCACATCAAAGTTCTTTCACCTAATTTAATACAGAACTTTATGACCACAATGTTTTTTTGTTCAACTAAATAATACTCACTAAAAGCAACTAATGCTGTTTTCTGGAACCGGATTTTCCTGTCCATCCGGGCATTCCTTGCAGCAATATTCTTCTTTCAAGAAATCAAGCTCAACAGTAGTACATTCGGTTGTATTTGACATCACAGATGACATTTTCATAGACTGGCCCATATTCTGCCAGTTTTTTGTTTGTCGGTCCCAAGCAAAGTGCTAATATAACGGTAATTATCATCAAGCGTCGCTCCATCACAACTTTTGTGCCTTATATTATCCCCAATGTCCTTGTAGATTTTTTTGACAATTTTTCTGGTTTTTAAAAACGAGAATCGGAGGTCCAGGCTGAAACCAGCAACAATATTGATGAAATAGGTAATCACTGAACTCTATATAAATATATATAATAATATATAAATCTATGTGACAAAAATATTAGTATTCAACAATAATAATGTTATTAATAACATTTGACAACGGTAAATACATTGGAGTAGTCAAGTAAACTAAATTAATGGTTTTGTATGTTTTATTTTAAAGTTCATGGTGGGGCTCCGCTAATAATTGTCTAAATCTGAATGTATAACTAAATCTCTATATATGAATATATATAAGAGCCTAATTCTGGCAAAAATTGAATAGTAGCAAACCTAATAAATATTTGATTATATTTAACAAATAAATATATTGGCCTACACATTTCTTGGATATGAATAAAACCTGAACTAGCAAACCCTGGTTGAAAAAGGCTACATGGGACCGGGACTAGGTTACAATGTAAGCGCACCCCAAATGCTTTGCTTCACAGATGACTCGGCATGAAATAAACTACGTTTCGTAATACAGGCTTTAGAATTTTCTCGAATATATGACGTGGTCACCATACGCATCATACACTCACTGATGCGAACAAACTTTTCACCTCAACTGGTTTATACTGGCATAAACAGAGCTCTTCTCATAAGCTAGAGTCCCCTTCCCGATATGCGTTCACGTCACATTTACGATCACTACCTTTCAGCACCCTGTTTTGGCCAAACTAGAAATAGTGATAGATTCCCGGGGTCTGGTATAGTTTAGTACCACATGTACTTCTAGTTGACCTGGCTCAACAATTTTTGCATATGTCAATCCTAACCCCCGCCTGACTACGTCACCAAAAAATTACGTCATCTCGACGTCACAGTGGCGTAATAAGGCCCACCGAAGTATGCGGATGCTCGTCCAAAACGCACAGACGATCACCCAAAATCGAGCAAGCAATTTCTCTCGTTTTCTCGTCACACGATCACTATAGGAGAGAGATCGCCGGCTTTAGCAAGTTCGTTATCGGCGGCGCAGATGTCAATTCGGGCGATCGTAATTTTACTTTGGCAATCCCTATGACGTGATGGTGACGTCGTAGTGACGTAGTTTTTGGATGGCATAGTCAGGTGGGGGTTAGGAATAGCATATGCAAAATTCGTTATGCTACGCCCACCGGAAGTACGGTACTTGTGGTACCGTACTAAACTATACTAGACCCAAGAACTGCGCCTCGGTACGATACGGTACCCGGTATACAATGAGCCGTCTTATTGGCTTTTTCCTCATCCCAAATAAATATGAAAGTCCTATTTTGAAGTTCCTACAACCTTTACCCCGGGACAAATACCGTGAAATACGTAAATCTTATCTCTTATCTCAGGTATCTGTATCTCTTATCTCGGCGCGGCGGTGTGGCTCAACGGGCTAAGCGTTAGGAATACGCTCGCCACCGCACCTCTAATTACTCTGCGTGGGTTCGCAGGTTCGAATCCCATGCATTGATGGTTATGTGCGAGAGGATTGCTGGACTCCTCGCCGTCGTTGGGTGGTTCACGTAACCGCTGGTCGGCTACGGCTTCCTCCACCACCAATTCCATGCTTCCGAAAACAAACAATATAACTAATCCCATACCCGACCTGGAATGGTAACCGGACGAGAGGCCGTGGTTCGCCATATGCATAAGCCGTCTTAACGACTTTCCTCTCCCCCGGGATAAATATGGAAGTCCTAATCCCAAAATCCTATCTTTATCTCCAGCTTCGAAACAAAAAAATAGTCTAGCAACGCATTTACGTTTAGGAATGCGGCTGTCAATCACAAAACTACCGAGTCGTTTAAAAAGGTTTGGAGTCATAAACTCATATCCGGAAGAAAATGGCTCGCTGCAAGCACGAAAAATAAAATCATTCACTGAACTTTGATATCAAACGCGTTGTTTATGCTGTTATACGGATTACGGAGTTGGAATAAAATTATACTTATATGATTATCCGCGTTTTATACGGTATATAATGCTAAACAGTGTAAAACCCATTCGGAACCTAGTTCAGGAACACCCTCCTAGCGGGAATTGTGTAACCAAATTGTAAAAAATATATTATTTTCGGTTGTTCCGTTATTCCATTATGTTTATGTTTTGAAATCAAATTTTTTTTTAGGTAGTCTACTGACCTGTGAACTCATTACCTATTTAAAATACGCAAAAAAATTGAGTCAACTTCGTCAGGAAAAATAAGTAAGCAATTGAGTGGGTGTCGTTATGTCAGTTGACGCGTGATCATATTTTATTTAAATTACCATTCAATGGCGCGGTAGAATTGGGACAAAATTAAATGATATACTGTGTTTTGAGAATAATTCTGAATACAGTAATAATAAAACCTTGGCATGAAAACAATTATGAAGATCGCCAGTATTCAAATTTTTCAACCGAATTTTTTAGGTTGGTCAATGGCAATAATACTGAGATACTCCTCGCATTCAACCAATGTTTTATATAAATGGGGTTCTAGAATATCCAACGTAGTCTACTAACCTATAACCTATATAGGAACGACAAGACGTCAAACGGTTGAGTCAACTGAAAAACATGTTTGAGTGGGTGTTGCGCATCATATTAGTGCGTGATGATTTCAAAGTTGTAGGTAAAACTAACATTCAACATTGCGTTAATTACTAAGTCCCGTTCATAAATGATATTAAAAACAATACAACCCATTATCATTAAGTTGTGACAAGAATTATATAATTTAATATTCATAACAATCCGGGTTGAGGTGAGCCGGGCCTTTTAACAAAGTTTTATAAAGTTGAGTATGAGATTTTTAGAGAAACAGTTTAAATAACAAATATATTTAATTTATCTGCTCTGGGTTCCGTCAATAAAAAATTTCAAGCGAAAGCAAAATCAAACCCGAATAAAATTACATGAGATACATACATACTTGTTGCTACAAATTTGCAAAAAAACATGCATTTTGAATTCAAGTAATAGTGCTGTGTTTTACTCATCGTTTTTAACTGATTCATTCAAAACTTAATGGCATGACCGTTTCAAACTGGTCATCGTCATGATTATGATAAGCATAAAAGCCAGCTGTGGGGGACATCCAATATTCATTTTTTGAGAAGAACCTTCAGGCGAACTTCACAATGTTGAGTAGTTGCGATGACTATCAAGCGACGAAAAATAGTAAATCTGAGAAAAGAAAAACTCCGAAACAACAACGTACAGCGACAGGGGGTGCATGTAACATGGCAGGCGACATAGCGAGGGCCGTCGCAGTTCTAACGGACGAGCCAGGCGTTTATCCGTTGAATGGCAAAAAGGGCGCGTATTGATAATAAGCAACTCGTTTTATGACGAAAATAGAGATGAAAATCCACATAGCAGAAAACCAGCGTGTGACAAAGACGTTGATAATATGGTGAACCTATGGAGAATCCTAGGATGTGATCTGTATGAAGGCAAGGCTCACATAGACAAATCAGCTGAGGAAATGCGCACGCTTTTGAAGGGCATATCTAGAAATATCGAAAAATCACTGTTCTTTCGTGGTCATTATAATAATGACACACGGCAATTTGCTCAAGGACGAATCTAAAAAACAAGAAATAGAAGTCATATATGGGAAAAATGGGGGAACTGATTATATTGAAAGAAAGGAGATTGACAACATGTTCCAAAATGATGTCGCCGTGGATCTCCAGGGGATTCCAAAATTTTTTATATATCAATGTTGTCGAGGAAAAATTCATATGAAAGCGATAAATTCGCAGATAGAAACTGATGACATTGAAACTGATTGCTCAGATCGAGAAGACGCAGTACCTATTATCAGCGACATTGTCATCATCAATTCCACACTCCCAGGTCACATGGCGTATAAAGATGGCGAAGGTTCTATTCTGATTACATCAATAAACACCATTTTCGGAAAACATGGTAAGAAAAAACATGTATTAGATTTGCTGACAATGGTGAACTCTGAGATGTTGAAATATATTAGCAGCTGTAGACAATCGCCTCAGTCATTAGAGACTATTTTCATAAAGCCGATGTCCGTATTGGAGTCATGCTTGGTGAAACACTTTTACCTGACCGAATGACCGGGCTTCATTACACTTCATCCACATCACACAACAATCGAAGGCTTTCAGAACGAACATGCAAACCTTGCTTTGTTAAACAACATTTCAACTAGGTTTTTCTTGTAGGTTCACTTCAATTATGCTTTATGCTTACGTTTTATTACGAGGTCTTCTTGCTTATATATATACTTGCTTGAAAGGAAAAAGAAAAATACTCATTATATAGTTCAGTTATCGCGCTAGTAAATTTTCAACTTCATAAAAACTTGTAAAATCGGAAACAATCTGAATACCGTATTTTACGGAACAAAAGGTTTGAAGTGCGTCTTATGGTCCGCAAAATACGTTAAGATATTAATTTTTTTATCGTTTTTATTTCATTTATTTGTGTCATTGTTGTTTCTAAGATCGCAATATATTTATTTACATATATATGTCTCTATCAACTATTTTTGTGAAAATAAAGCGAATAAAACGGCTTAGTCATATGGCGAACTACGACCTCTCGTCCGGTTACCAGTCCATGTCGGGTTGGTTAGTTACCCAGTTCATCAATCCTCGCACATAATTATTCCCCATGGAATTCGAACCTGCGAACGCATGCAGGGTAATCAGAGGTGCGATGGCGAGTGTATTCCTAACGCTTAGCACGATGCGCCACAGCACCGAGCTATCAATGTACGACAAACGCAATCTGCCTAAAAATCGTTTTTCGGCATAATTCTTTGAAGTCAGTCATTATTATCTCGAAATCCAAGAAAAAATATAAAAATAATGGCCCTTCGAACAGTGCAATTCTGAAATCGATTAGTCTGTTTTCTTACAACAAAAGCTTAGAAACAAAAGCTCGTACACATTTGAGGTTAGCGGGGGGTCTGAATTATTTTATGGTTAATCAGACTACGAACGAAACGACAGAAGCCGATCAGCAACTCATTTATTATACATGTCTCAAAAGAAAAGAAGGGCAGTACGCTAAACCATGCAGCTTGCAGAAAAAAAACGGGACGTAATAGCGGCAAGAGCTGTGCTGAACTGTTTGGCCACTCGAAAAATGCTGGAGGCCAGGGGTCCGCAAACTACGACCCGCGGAGAAATATAATCCGATCCGCGACGCTTCACTGAATTATATTAAAACAGCTGTGTTGACGATTATATTCTTTACGTGACAGAATTTGTTTTGAGACACTAAATTATATTATAACCTAATAAGTATACAATACACAATCACTCGTTTATAATATAATTAGACAAATGGCAACAGAATGTAAAAAAGTCGATGACGAGTGCAAATGGTTTAATGACGCCGAAAATTATCAAATGATCAGTCTTCGCGCACTGCTTAAAATTTACCTGAAATCTGTGTGAAAAAATGTGATTCATTGGTCATCCCTTCGGTTGTTAACTTTCTGAAAATATGTGCGGCCAATGACTTGCAACCTTTAATTTTGGCCCGCGAACAACGAAAGTTTGTCGACCCCTGCTGTAGGCCTAGTACAGGGTGGTCCAAACCCAGGCCCGCGGGCCACATGTGGCCCGCCGCTTTATTATCTGTGGCCCGCGTCACATTCGGAGAGTAATCAAAAATTGCATTTCGTGTTGTTTCGTCATAAAATTAATGAAAATCTTTTGAAATATTGGCATCTAATGTCACTGAATTAAGTGTTATGGCTAGCTGGGGAAACTAGCGCAGTTGAATGATGCTTGGCAGTCTAAATTGTTATCTGGCTTACTAACTTTTTGGTCGGGAATATATGCTAACAATATAGCATCATAGAAAACTAAAAAAGAATGCGGATTCTATTAGCCTAGAATGGTATGCCTGATAACTATGTGATTGTACAATAAAAGTGTTTGTTTTGTATTGCACTGTTTTCCTATTCGCACTATTGTGGCCCGCGAACAATGCAAAAATAATTTTGTGGCCCAGCCGACAACCTTGGACCACCCTGGCCTAGTACATACAGACTTGATTAAACGAATAATTATACGGGAAGAAGTAGCCTACCGGATATTTGATGATATAGCGATGACAAGACGGTATTTTTCTAAGGTAGGAAGAAAATTTATTTGTAACCGGGCTTCGATTCACTATTTTTCCATATCTCTTATGTTAAGATATACAAGTCAACTCCAACTCGAGTTGACGAAAATTTTGTCTCTGTGTTTGGAAAAATCAAATTTTGATTGACAAAGTTTGTTATCCTAATTTAATTTTTTCGCATTTCGAAATCAACATTTTCTTATCCTAGATTTGGGGGCAAGGGGGGTATACCGTAAAAACGATTTAAAAAAAAAAAAAGATTGAATATAAAATTATGGCTTATTAGTAGGCAGAGACGTAGCCAGAAATTTCCAATGGAAGGGATTATGAAATTTCTATTTGCTGAGTTAGATCGAAACAGGGGGATCGAACGTGGGGAATCGTGTGTTTTCATGGGTCTTGAGGGCCTTGAAAACGTTTCAACCTACGCAATATTGATATGTATGAAACAGAAAAATGCTTTCATTTTTTTACATTTTAAAAGAGGGGGGAGGGTTCCGACACCCAAAACCACCCCCACTATGCCCTTGTTAGTGAGCACCGCCATCTTTGGCAGGCCAGAAAAATAAAATAGCATTGTCTGATGTTTTGTTCCCATAGAACGGACAACAATTTAGCCACTCCGGGCGGTATTCATGTTCTTGTTTTAGAAGTGTTACATGGCCATTTTATGTCAATATGTTATTACTTATCGATTTAAGATCGGTAAATAGGTTGAGAGGTATTTTTCTGTCTGTCTGTTTGTCTGTTAGATGAACGCGATATCTCACGAAGGCGAGTTGAATCTGCTCCAAATTGCATGTGCATTTATCATATCTCGGACCAGACGCCTATGATTTTGGGCGAATTATGTCGTATAAATAGCGAGTTAATAATTAATTAGTGATGGAACACAAGGTGTCACTATGAAGTAAGAGCGATGTTTGGGATCCCCTAACTTTCGATCGATAAGTCTTCGGTCTCTGACCGATATTCTCGTTGATGTTTACACCATAAATGATGTTCTGGCCAGCAGCTCCCAAACTTTTAAGAGTTTTAGTAATTTGACCTATGCGGTATAATCTCGCTTTCGTGAGATATCGCGTGCATCTAACAGACAGACAGACAGACAGACAACCTGAGTTACGGTTGTGCGCCATCTTGGTGCGCATACTTCAGGAGGTCCAAAAATATCAATTTGGATATTACAGCGTAATCGTTTAATGCATAGAGGACATGTGCAAAAAACTCAAACAGTAGATAGAAATAAAATGGGCATCCTTGGTTATGAAATTAACAATATGCAAAAGAATCAAAATTTAGCAAACATAAATAAAAATGGGAGAGAAACATGATATTTGTATTATGACGTCATATTATAAAAATCACATTCTATTATCACGTCATTCATATATTATGACGTCAAATTTTGTGCACGTCTACCTGCGTACTAAAGTACAACGTTCTGTTTTGTGAATTGAACAATGGTCATCCATAGACTTAAGCCTGGCTTTAAACCAAGTTAGATGAAAATGCGCACTTATATACCCTTGGATAACTTTGACAGCGAGTAAGGTAGATAGACTCTTTAAGATAATGTTAAATATCAGTGGCTGCCTTTCTGACTTTGATTGAAAGCACGAGAAGGCATCGTATTACTATTATACAAAAAAAATATTGACCCCTCATCGAAAAAAAATTGGAACTGTTCTTATTACCGCGGATTGCGTCGATTAAATCACTGAGTCTACTAACTAAGTGACTGTTAGTTGTAAAATATATATTACAATTTATGTATATTTATATAATATCTGTAAAAAAAAGAGCAATGCTCAATTATATGGACACGAAAAACTAAAACGAAGTAGCATCAAATCTCTCAGGTAAATCCGGAAATCGCAAAAAAATGCGAAGTGAATCCCAATGATCCACAAAATGTTTGAAATAAATGAAAGTAATAGCCTTCCAACGAGATTAACAATCTTTAACCACTGAAAAAATTTCAAGCAATTGATCCTGTAGTTAAAGAGAAAAGCGATTTTTTACAACATGAATGAATGAAATGCAAAATAACAAAACGATCAATACGTCCATTTCGTGTCCAATATCGACAACGACGCCATATTTCGTCGATGGAAAAGTGTGTGTACTTTTGAGGTCAGCTGAATATGGATGAAACTCTCTATGTTGTGGCTCCATATAGAACATTTACCACTGTTTCGGCCTTGTCACTAGGTGGGGCACCTTGTGTTTTTTTCTGAGCATCAACGCTTCCTCCCCCTGTTTCCCCATATAGTACATTATCCACCATTGTTTTGTGATATTCCACTGTTTGCTTTGTTCCTTGAATCTTTTCCACTGTGGAATATGCGACATCTGATTGGTTAAAACTGGACACGTGACTGCTTTGTCCTTGCTGTGATTGGTTACTCGAACTGGCTCCGCCCATTTGTAGATTGATATCTTCTGCCGCTGAATAAATGCCACCTCCTGATTGGTTGGAAGAAGAAGCTACAGCGTTTGATTGGTCGCTCTTTGCTGGATTTCCGCTTTGTTTTTGTTTTTTCCTGAATATGAAATATTGTAATTGGTAAATTAACGATGAAATGAACGCATGATAACCGGTAAACTATATTGGTATATCGTGGAATTTCGCTCCGAACAAGACCCTGTGCAAGCCCCCACTTATATTTAACTATATGTAGTCAGTAGTTTATTTTTTCACCATCCTGAAAACACACTAGATATACAAATTAAAATAAATTATGAAAAAGTATTCCAGGGTCGCGGAAAATCAAATTAGGTTATAGAGCAGCGGCACCGGTAAGAAAGTCTAACAAGAAAATAACAATGAAAAGTCGTATAAAAGAAACTATATTGACTATTGAAAAAATAATAATACGTCAAAGCGACCTGGTGTGCCCAGCAGTCGCGCGTTTCAACAATTACAAATGTTTAGAGCTACTACACCTAAAAGGGCTAAAATCGTTCCAAT